AAATGAAATTGAATAACAGGGCAGTGGTCACAACAAGACAGACAGAACAGCAAAGACCGACTGACGCTTACAGTTCCAAGAACACAGCTGAACACGTACCGCCTTGACTGTTGCTACCAAGACAGACGTGGTCTACTCTCCCACCATAGAACCTGTGAGAATCTTCCCTGCCACCCTCCTTAAACCTCCCAGCTTCCCCAGCTCGGGGCTGATACACTGTTGAGCTTCGCCCCGGCTGACTCCATTCTGGTCTCAGCCCATGTGCAGGCAGATGCTTTAATAAACTTTCTTTCAAAACTCTACCGGCCTGATTTCTCTCTCCCAGCACTGAACCTTGCATGGGCCCGTTCTCCTCTGTCCTTTACTGTGAGTTGTAATCAACTGGATTGGCAGTGGGGGGCTAATCTTTATGGAAGGAGCCTTGGTGGTACAGTGGTTCAGTTGTGTTGTTGTTGTTATGTGACTTTGAGTCAAACCCGACTCATAGCGACCCCTCCTTGGGTTTCCGAGGCAGTATCACTACGGAAGTAGGATTGCCCAACCTTCCTTCCGAGGAGTAGGCTGGTGGGTTTGAACCGCCAGCCGTCTGGTTAGCAGGCAAGTGTCTTAGGCACTATGCTACCAGAGCTCCTAGTGGTTCGGTGCTTGGCTGGAAAGAAAGCTGTGGCCGTCTGCTTCCTTAAAGATTACAGCCTTGGGAAGCTCGTGGGGCAGTTCCACTCGGTCCTCTAGGGGCGCTATGAGTCAGAAGCAACTCCACAGCAATGTGTATGGTTTTGGGTTTTTAATCTCTACCAGCGCGGACTGCCAGGTCTTTCTTCCTCGGTACCACTAGGTGGGCTGGAACCGCTCCCTGTCAGTTAGCAGCCGAGCACCCAACCTTCGCGCTGCCAGGGCTCCTTAATGAAAATGTTAGAATAACTGAAGCCAAACAATGAAAATACATTTCAAAAAACGTGGGAGCATCAGCCAAACGCATCCACACCCGCGATCTCCCTGGATTCTGGGAAGCATGGAAGATCCCCTCTGTTCTGGAGCTGGAAACCGAGTCCGCGGAACCCGAGCTACGTTGGCGGCGGGTCGGAGGCGGGGCCGAGGCCAGTGCGGCTGCGCACACCCATCACCTTCGCGCCCACTTGCACTGCGCCCGAGCGGACCCCTCGCAGGGTTGACACTAATGTCCTCCTGCTTCCCAGGTGACAGGTCCAAGCCGACAGGGTGCAGTGCCAGCTGTGTGGCCTGCGCCTCCTGGAGCCTCAGTTTCCCCGTCTGTCCCTGTGCTCCGGGCAGAGGTGACGTGTGGGGGCGGGGCTTAGCGCTAGTGGGCGCTGATGACAATGGCGGCCCTGGGGACTCGCTTAGGAGCCCCGGTGGCGCAGTGCTTAAGTGCTCGGCTGCTCACTGAAAAGCGGTGGCTGGGACCCACCAGCTGCTCGGTGGGAGAAGGATATGGCAGTCTGCTCCCCGAAACCCTAGGGGGCGGTCGTACAGTGTCACGTGGGATCACGATGCGTCGGAATGGACGGGCGTCCACTGGTACCCGGGACGCGTCCTGTCAAGGTCAGCGGTGGTGGAGGGGGGTTGGCGTCTGTCTGACTGCCAGGTGCTGGGCTGTCTGTCCCCTGACCCCAGGGCCCACAGCAGCGGGCTCAGCTGGGCCAGCGGGCCTTGACATCCCAGCTTCCGCCCTTCCTCCCGGCCCCTGCAGCCCAGCCTCCTTCCACGCCTTCTCTGGCCTTTCCCCAGGGAGAGAGCGAAGCTTCGTCAGTCACGGCACCAGCTGGCAGGCGGCCGCGGGCACAGGAGCACCAGCTGCCGAGAGATGGCCTGCGGAGGGCGGGCCAGGGGGGCGGGCGGCCAGGCGGAGGCAGGGCAGCACGGGGGTGGCGGGCAGAGTCCGTGACCCAAACGGCTGGCACGGTTACTCGGCCCGTCCCTCC